CAAGGACAGAAAGGCAGATGTGGCAGTGGAAGGTGTCAAAGCAGTTTGGGGAAAAACAAAGTAAAGAACAAAAAAAAAAAAAGAAAACGATTAATCGATTATTAAATTAGTCATCGATTATTTTAATAATCGATTAGTCGTCGATTAATCGATAAATACATGGCAGCCCTACTTGTAAGTATTCAGTTTGCAGAGCAACTTGTTCATTTATGAAAATATGTTGTTTTACAAGTTGTATTTACAGTAAAATACCAACATCATCAGAAAAAAATGTTGAATTAAAACAAAATAATTTTGAGATTTGGACCTCCCAACCTTCATTTTAATAAAACATATCTTGTTGTTCTACAACGACAAGAACAAAAATATATATTTTTTGCACTAAAATGGATCTTTGTGCATCCTGTGGTGATTCACTCGTGAGCCAAAAGTAAACTATTGGCAACACCTCAATCAATACGTCAAATTAATCTATTCTTGTTCAAAACTGCAGATCTCAGAACTCAACAGAAACTTGGCTTGTTTCTGAGCAGAAGAAAGCCTCAAAATTACAATTTTTTTTACCACAGTTGCTGTTCTGCATCAGATACAGACAGATCTGCTTTCAGTTTTGTCTCTACATTCAATTCTATATCTGATTGACCTCTGTCAGAAATCCACTTTGTGCTGTATTTGAACAAATCCTCTCTCTTTGTTGGCAGTGCAGTCAGTGAAGGGGACCTTCAGAAGAGACTCCTCTTTACAGTGTGGAACTCTGACTCTACAACAAGGTACCTGCTGAGAAATCTGAAGATGGTGATTAGTGTTGATGATAATAGAACTGACACAGAATAATTAACATGTTGCACTTTGTTTTAGCAATTAAAGTCAGATTTAGTATCTGATTTTTTTAAGTTGCAGCAGAACAAGAACACCACGTGTGCACAAACATAAAGCTTCCTGTTGGGTTAACTAAATGCCTCTCCCCCAACAGCTGCATGCAGTGTGTGTTTGTATTTGTGTCTGAGTCTGGCAGAGTGAGTGTGTTGTTTGCTCTCCTGCTTCAGCAGACTTCAGCTGAAACAGGGTCATTGGCTGTTTGGTCGAATGAATCACATGTGATTCTGAGCTAAACTGTATTGAGAGGAGTGGGGAGGAAAAAAGCATTGTGCACAGGGAACACAGAAATACGCTATTTTGAGCATTTTTTTTACTATCCATCCATCCATCCATTTTCTGTACACGCTTCTTCCTTTTTCAGGGTTGCGTGGGTCACTGGTGCCCATATCCAGCAGTCACAGTGCGAGGGGCGGGGTACACCCTGGACAGGTCGCAAGTCCATCACAGGGCCAATTTTTTTTACTAGTAAAAACTTTTTCTATCAAATGTAATTATCCAATTTTTTCTTTTTTTAATATGAAACATTTTTCTGCCTGGAGTTTAATAAAATCAGGAAGTCTTTTTCAAGATAAAGATCTGTTCTTAGGACAGTTTCTGGAACACAGAATAATTACATAGTTTTCATTTTGGTACAAATTAAGCATGCTTCATGCCAGATGTTTTCATTGTATTAATTTGGCAAAATCATGTTGCAGCAAAATTTATGGTAAAGATTGCATTGCATCATTTTGCTACAGTCTCCCATTCTGAGCAGCACATTAGCGACAGTAGAAAGGAAAAACTCAATTGTAACCAGAAGAAACCTCCAGCAGAACCAGGCTCAGAACAGGACAGGTGGCCATCTGCCTTGACCAGCTGGGTTTGAGGGGACAGGAAAGAGACACAGACAAACACAGAAGGACTGGTTTAGGTGTTTTCTGGAAGAGAGACAAAGCAAAACATTTTGATAGCAATAGTTACAACAACAAACATGTAGAGGAGAGAGACTAATAACAGGAACAGAGTGAGGAAATGTGGTCAGTTTGTCCTCCAGCAGTCTAAGCCTATAGCAGCAGCACTAAGGAATAACTCAGGAAACCTAAGCCAAACTATAGGATTTATCAAACAGGAAAATCTTAAATCTAGTCTTAAACGTAGACAGAGTGTCAGCCTCACGGGCAGAAACTGGAAATTGGTTCCACAAGAGAGGAGCTTAATAACTGAAAGCTCTGCCACCAATTCTCAGTTATAGTGTAAAGAAACTGAGAAATAAAATCGCTATACACATTGCTTTATTATTTGTTCATATACTTCAACACTTGCTAAATTTTCATTGACCATGAAAATGCACAAATTAGAATTTTGAAAATAAATTTGCTCAATGGAAACACGTCAATTTCGAAAAAAAAATTATGTTTTTCAACAAAATGTTTTTGCGCTAGGATGAGGTGGTTTTTCGGCCGTATCGAAATTGGTGTTTTTCGCAAAACTGCAATGGAAACACTTTATTCGCATCACGGGAGTCACGTGATCAACAACCGGCTGTTTCTACTGGCAAAAAAGATGACGACGAAGAAGACAACAGGAAGTAGAAGTAGTAGTAATATTACAGAAGTAGTATAAAATAGTAAACTCACCGACTACAGTTTCCCAAAAACACAGCATACGTAGCCGCTCCCAAGTAGGGGCTTATCGCTGGAAAGCCTCGATAAAAGACGCCGACGTCTCCTCTGATGGCTGATGATGAGCGCTAGTGTCACGGTAGCAACATGCTATGTGTTTGCATCCATTGCTGCCATGTTTGTAATGACTTATCGCGAGAACAAACATATTCATGCGTGACTTTAATAGCATTTCTTACTTAATGGAAACACTGCAGTTGCGAAACTGTGTTTTTCGACATTAACAGAATATCGACAAAGTTTTGCGCACATTTGAAATGGAAATGCAGCTACTGAGCCATTTTTATGTTCCATTGTGGGTTTTCAAGTTTATACTTACTTCACAGTTAAACCAGGGCAGCATATGTTCATTTTAGCTGAGCAGCAATCATCTGACCAGTTTCACCAACAGCTGCATTTTCAGCACCTCCTTTAAAAATGTCACAAGACTAAGATGTTGAGATCATGCTTATGTGCACTAGGGTAAATATCAAAGTACTAGTTTTGGTAATATCTGAAACAGGGAATCATGCTTTCTTGTGTACAAACAAGGCTGCAGATGAACATGACCAATGTGTAATTATTACCAACAAACCTGCCTTCTGTGCTCCCTGCAGGGCTGATCTTTAGCCCCACAGCACCTGTGTTCATCTCAGAAGCAATAACAAGATCCTGCTGAAATGTCATGCAATGCGCTTATTCATCACGCCCTGCTGTTGTGCTGCTGCTGTTGGGGAAGTTGTCTAAGTGACTGCCTCTTCAGCAAATCCTCTTAAACACCACTGAGCATTTGCCAAAGTACTGCTGCAACAAAGCTCAACTGATCTTTTCATGACTACTTCAACCTTCGTCATGTAAAGACAAAATAACAACATCTTGTTTTCCCCTACACAATCTTTTAAAATACATTTTACAAATTTTTTGTGTCTTAAGAAAAAAAATAGTGGATTATTAATATATACTGAGTAATTCCTTCAATTCATATTTATACACACTAATTATTGCATTTGACAATAACTACACAATTAAGAAGTGAATAAAAGTGGTGCAGTGTGGTTTTAAGTATGTATGCTTGTTATGGACAAGATGCTGGTTGATGCTCAATGGGATTATAATTTGTTCAGACTTGCCCTGTACCTTAACCTGGACTAAAATCTATTATTGATTCCATTTTGTGGAAAAACTGATTTATTTATTAATCATTATTTGCATACCGTATTTTTAAGATGAGACAAAAATGTGAACCTATTAATGAACTCTAGAGCTACTGTTTTAATGTGATGATTTTCCAGTTGTTTGGTACCTTTTTTTTACTGAATGCAGAAAAGCTGCAGGTCAGAAGTTCATTTATCCTGACGTCCAGTTTTGTCATCAGAACAGCATCAGCAGCTGCACGGCTTGTTTCCAGCTGTGAGCTTGTCCAGATCTATTTTTCTCATGTGTGCAAAACTGAACTTGCACTCTGCAACAACACAGCCACACAAACTGTCCTAACTCAAGAATATAATTCAAAAATAAAGATTTTATTTTCAGTAGTCATTTTAATGAAATGGATTTTTCATAGATTTGAATCAAATCCATAGTTCATTGTCTTTAATATGGGTAGTTGTCTTGCAGACATTATGGATAAACAACTCAAACCTGTTTTATTTATGTTTAGCAGAGTTGTGTTTATGACATACAATGGTTTGCAAAAGTATTCATACCCCTTGAACTTTTCCATATTTTGTCACATTACAACCACAAACATAAATA